TTAAACTACTAAGACCCAGATGCTAGACTACTAAGACCCAGATGCTAAACTACTAAGACCCAGATGCCAGACTACTAAGACCCAGATGCCAGACTACTAAGACCCAGATGCTAGACTACTAAGACCCAGATGCTAGACTACTAAGACCCAGAATTTTTATAAGGTTATTATAAGTACCACTTCATACCTGTCTTGGGCAGACCTCATTATTGCTGTTACCTGAAGCAGTCAGTGTTCCTGTACTTTGACCTACTTAAACAAAATAACATGCAAAGCTGTAATACCTATTTATAGCACGTAGTAATCTGTACATAGGTTGTCCTATTGCAATGTACACAGACAATAATCTCAGCACTTTCCATCATGAATGAAAAAATATGTATCAATGTTGAGATATTATATCACTGATTTTAGACAAATGAAAAATAATAAATATTTGACTTGCCCCTCTTATCCTATCCTATTGGTTTAGTCCAAAGTACACCCACCTCCCCCACTGTATAATGGGACGGTCTAAAGTGCAAAGGTCTTCACTCATGAGAAAATTATGTTGACTCAATGCCAGGAAATGTTTTGTGCATGTCAAAAATACTTTTTTTTTCTACTGTAATTACGAAAAATCAAATTTTATTTGCTGACAGCGAGACCATAAACCGTGACATTTGATTATTATTGAGTTTTGCAGCATTCTCAATGTAGGTCACCTGACTTACCTTAGATGTGATTCCAAGATAAGAGATATAGGAACTCACGACTTTTGCTATCTATTTATTTTGAATGAGGAAATTCTTACAACATTAATGCGATAGAGCGACATGTTGTTGCACGTACCACGCACCTTATCCTGTACGCAGATTACCACCCTAAAGCTGATGAATTGCACCCAGAAGGACATTAATTCAAATACGGTAAGTGTTTTTTTATTATATTTTTTTTTACTTTGGTGTGTTTTATATTTGTGTTTTATTTTGTCCACAACATTCACTAAAAATATCTTTTAAGTTCAGTAAACATGGACATGCTGGTTTCATGTGGTCTTTCAACAGAAAACTTTAAATTTAAAATAGTTTAGTAGTTTTGTTATGCAGGCTTACCTTGTAGTCATGCATGGTTTTAGTCATTGTCTGTATTGTTCATTTCTATTCTTCTTTTTTGTTGGTAGTTTTTCATTGTTCCTATTGTTCCTTTGGTGGGTTGAAGGTTGACGACTAGAGTGTGTTTTACATGCACCACAGAAATCAATATCACTTCTCCTTCATGGCCGCACTGCACCTTAAAATTTCACTGTATTCCAAATGCCATGAAATCCTGAAAATGTGAAAATTTCCTGACAGTGAAAATAAACAGTTTCTAGTACATGTACATGTATGTTACAGGATGTATGTGTGTGGGTTTCAGATCAATTAGATGTAATTGTCTGAATATCAGCTTATCCACTGACCACATACCATGTTATAAATTGTCTGAATATTAGCTTATCCACTGACCACATACCATATTATTAATTGTCTGAATATCAGCTTATCCACTGACCACATACCATATTATTAAATGGCTGAGTGAAGATTTAAATTTATCAATGTTTTATTCGTGAGTCAGAATATTATATTTTATTCATAGATTTGGTTACAAATTCTCAAAATGTGACATTTTCATGGAAACAGGCACTTGGCAGATTTAGATCAAGAAAAGTGAAAGTCAATGCTAGTATAACAGATAATCTTGTCGCAGATAACAGTAGCTGCTGTCTATGGTGTGTTTCTTACATTAATATACATGTACTTCATATATTGACATGGCATGACATTAATAATGGTAGGTGGCCATTTGGTATTTACATTCCTTACATCATATTTTGGTTGTCAAGAAAAGCTTTTATTCTAAAAAGTTTGTGAAAACCAAAATAATGTTGCAAAAACTTTATAAAATTGAATTTTGACAAAAATGTTTGTGAAATGAACAGATTTAGAAAAGAAAGGGATATTAAGGTGAAGACAATAAACAGGAACTATTAAATTTCTTCATGGCGAATGTGCTGCTATGGTTACATATAATTATTATGTCCAAATTCTGTTATTGAATTAACTGCTACTAAAACAGTTTCTCATCCATACACTGATTTGATTACTAATCACTTTTCATCTGTCTTTATTAATTAAATCACATTAATCTAATGATTACAAATCAAAAGTTTGATTTATAGTTTTTGAAAACTTTTAATTTTTGCCAATTCTAAGTATTGATCTGCAATTTAATGTATTTCTTTGGTTTAAAAACTTATACAAAAATTGAGAATATTGTTTTTGGTTCTGTTGATCTATAGTTCAAAGTGCATAGTCATTAACAGCTTGGTATGGTATAGGGGTTACTAATGTGCATTAATTTGTTTCCTTGAATGTGCCTAGTATTTTATCTAGGACATATGTACATGCAGGAGTTTAATGATTCAATCCAAGATGGCTGAATAGTACATACATCATACATATTATAATACATGTCTGTGATGATTCGTTTCACAATCTGATCAATGATAGTCGACTGGCAGCTATTTAGTTGTTGAAAATGTGGTATCTTATATATGCTTTGTCAGTTTTTGTTCAAATTTGGTATATACATTAAACATGTCTATGCCAATTTGGTTTGTGATCTGATCAAAGATGGCCGACTGGCGACCATCTTGTTTTTTGACCATAGTACTATAGAAATATTTGTTCATGTCAGTTTGTTCCTTAATCAGATCAAAGATGGCCGTCTGGCATCCATCTTGTTTTTTTGAAATTTGTCAGTTTTCAAATTTGATACAAACATTATACATCTAGAGATACATGTCATGTCCATGATGATTAGTTTCATGTTTTATACCTTTGTACATCAGTTTGGATACAAAAAATGCATGAATAGCATATCATGTTTAATTTCTGACCATATATATATTAAATCTAATTTCTGTTGATACTAGACCAGCCAATTATTCACTCTAAATTATCAACTATGCTTTTGGTCCATATTTCTTTATTTTTGGCATGAATAACATTTTCTCTAATTTTAACTATATTATGTCATTAACAATAACTTGTTTCTTTCGAATTGTTATATCTTGAATTCTGTAATTAGTCCCCGTTCGGACGCAGTCCGAAAACGGGGACTTATGTTTTGCCCTGTGTGCGTCCGTGCGTCCGTGCGTCCGTGCGTCCGTGATCACCTGTATCTCGAACATGCATGGACCGATTAAGTTCAAACTTCACTCATACATCACACCTTATATGGGACATATGCACATGCATTTTTTTCATGATCCGATTAACGATAGCCAAATGGCGGCCGCTTTAAGGCCGAAAATGCATTGAAATCGCACATTTTCACCATTCCGGACCCGGATCTCAGTTATGCATGGACGGATTTCATTCAAATTTGGTACATACATTAAACATAATAGGACCTTGATGCACGTCATTTTTTTTTCGGATCAAGTTCGAAATAGCCGACTGGCGGCCATTTTGTTAAAGAATTCAGTTCTGGATCCGTATCCAAGACATGTCTGGATTGATCAAGTTCAAACTTCACACACACATGGTACATCATGTCACAAATAGATATGTGCATTTGTTTCATGATCTGCTTAACAATAGCGGAATGATGGCCATTTTAAGGCCGAAAATGCATCAAAATCACATATTTTCACAATTCCAGAACCGGATCTCAGTCATGCATGGATGGATTTTGTTCAGATTTAGCACAATGTGTTGTACATATGCAGGTGCATTTCGGTCATGATCTGCTTTGAATGTATATGTCACTCAAATATGAACGGAACGGGGACGTGTCATTGACAATGACTTGTTTTTTTTTAATTCTGTTTTTTTGCAATTATTGTTCGTATAATGTTGTGAATTTTGTTAGGGAGCGCATCTTTCTTTGGTTCATAACCATTAATTTTTTTTTGGAGAGTTTTATATTGGCTTATAACAATTGTAATGGCTTGTTTATTATATAACCAGTTTTAAATTAGGGTTTGGTCTATTATCTGCAGATCACGGGTCACATGCAAATAAGATATTGATCAACGACTCAGAGACCCACTTTGTGACCTTTAATCAAAGATTAGCATAAGTAAATAAACTAATTCACAAGTCAAGGTATTTTGTAAGTTTATTCCAATTGGCTGACTGGTGAATGGCCAAATTACTAGTATTTTTATATGTCCTTAACCATGAACTCAGTTCAAGGTAGGTACATCGACAACAACATACTGGTACTTGGATGCATGAGCATAATTATTTTAGTTGACTTTTGACCAATTTTGTTCCTTAAAATACCAAAAAAACAATCTTTGAACATGTCATCAATCATTTCTTTAGTGTGTCCAGTCCAGTTTTATTTGTTTTATTTTCTTATGATGGTTCACTGAGGCATTTGTTGTTATTATTTACCGGTAATTCAAAAAGGCTAACTGTCAGTGTTTTAGTTTTATTTGGATTTGATTTAGTATAAAGGCAAGCACTGTAATGGTGTGTAGATTTCTTGAGATTTCTGATTTAATGTGATTCAATCTTCTAATATTTGCATGCACTCCACCAACAACAGTCATCTGTGTGTGCATGTGGTCGTGTGTGCGTTCGGTCCTATATCTTATACATGCTTGCCTGACACTTGTAGATTCACCTCTGTGCATAAGTGCATCTGTGTGTGCATGTGGTCGTGTGTGCGTTCGGTTCTTATACATGCTTGAACCGATTATAATCAAACTTCACACTGACATACATTGTACATATGCACATTAATTTGTTTCACACTATGATTCAAGATGGCGGCAATTTTTGTTCTGAAAAATCATTAAAATTAAGCATTTTGCAGATGTTTACAGATGGATTTTGTTTAAACTTGGTACATACATTGGATATTATGGGACCTTGATCCACGTCAATCTGTTTTTCAGATTGAATTTAAAATGGCTGACTGGTGGCCATTTTGTTTTAATCAATGTGGTTGTAGTGCCATATCTATGACATGCTTTGATTGATTATGTCCAAATTACACATGTATATATATTCATTATACATCATTGATATACAGATGTATTCAAAATGGCTGACTGGTGGCCATTTTGTTTTAATTATTGCTGTTCCAGAGCAATATCTCTCATATGGACAAGTACTTGTTTGATGATCAGATACAAGATGACTGAATGTCAACCATTTTAAAAAATCATCATAATCAAGCATCATCTTCTGGATCCATATCTCGGACATGTTTATATTCCAGCTATATTACTATAAACAAAACTATCTTATATTTGATAAATAACGGGGACTGTGCCATGCATGGCTTGTCCAAAGAGACAATTTTAATGACTTATATTTCTTGACTTTATATTTCAACTGAAAATGATAGTTCATGAAGAAAATGCAGAAGGGTGTTTTTGATTCTTGTGATGTATTGAATCACGTTATGAGCGTTATGAATAGTACAGTGCTTACATACATTTTCTAATTAATACAATTGGACATGACACAAATAAATTAAACCCGATGTGTCTCTGATGTGTCTCTGATCAGACTAGATTATGCCTGTTCATGTGCAACTGGTACATTTCATAGGACTTTACTATCATTTAAATATATTTTTGAGACTGACGAGAAAATGGCTAAACTGCACATAATTAACATTATCTCTTTTGTTCTTGCTTTTTAGATGATTGGTTGATTTAAGAATGAAGAGAATTTAAAAACAGCCAGAATTACAGGAAAGACAAATTAAGAAACTCTCAAATGTTTTGAATTGATTGAAATCAGGATGGATGGGTATGAATATATGCGGAAAATTGGACGTGGCGCCTTTGGAAGTGTGAAACTTTACAGAAAATGTAACACTGGTGAATATTTTGCAGGTAAAAAGCTGAAATGTGACACTGCAGAGAAACACACTGATGCCATGAAGGAAATTATGGTTCTGTCAAAAGTAGAACACAAGCATATAGTGCAGATTCAGAATGTTATGACAATCCAAGAAAATAACAGTATGTGTGTGTTGTTGTTTATGGATTTCTGTGATAAAGGAACATTGAATGAGTATATGCTAGATGCAAGACGTCATCGTATGAAGGACATCCATCTTAAAATTGAACTCATAACCCAGCTTGTTGATGCTACCAGTTTCCTTCATGAGAGAAGCATCGTCCATCGTGATCTTAAACCTGACAATATACTTATTGCTATGA